GCTCACTAGAGGCACACTATGGTGTTGTCAATAACAATGACTGCCTGTGGCTTATTTATTTTCTTATCAGCCTTAATCAGTCTGTGTTGACAGTGACATCTGCGCTCAGCAATATCCAAATGCTACCCGTTAAGATCCATGTACATATTTGTTTAGTTTTGTCTCATACGGCTGCAGTGTATAATTGGAAATTTGTGTTTGAAGATACAATTGACCATCTATTGTGGGGTATAGTTACATATGCTCTTATACAGCTTGATTCAGATGTCTATGGAGAGCACAATGTTTTTACAGCCATTTTACTATCAAATCCTTTTGATTTTTATTTTCTTTATTGTTAAACTGAGAAGTAATGATTTGAAAAACATGTTATATCAAAGAACCAAGTCATCTTAAATCTTGGGACATAATACAAAAAGTACTAACTTTTACAATGTTGTGTTGGAGGTCACTCTATTAGTCTTTTTAAGAAAGCAGTCAAGTGTTTTAAAAGGAGCGAGGGACTTGCATGCACTAACTAACAAAGAGGTATTTTCTTTAGTACACGCTTTTTCAATCTCATATGTAGAACCTTTCAAATAAAACGATGAGGGACATTTCCGTAATTTTTCAATAAAACACTGTATAATAAAAGTTATTCACTTTGGAGTTCTTTGTAGACGAATGAGTGAAGTTGAATAAAAAGACTGACCTTTTGCCCTCTAGTCTGTAAGTGAACAGATAGCTGCTGGTTTTGGACAGCTGTATGACTGACTGCATCTCCACTGAGGAGCACATTTTTCCACTTTTCTGCCCGGCTCAACTGCCGGGTATGCCGAGAGGCGTTTGCCTGTCTGGAGCAGTGACGCTGGACTTGTGTGCAAATGTGTGTGTGTGTGTGTGTGTGTGTGTGTGTGTGTGTGTGTGTGTGTGTGTGTGTGTGTGTGTGTGTGTGTGTGTGTGTGTGTGTGTGTGTGTGTGTGTGTGTGTGTGTGTGTGTGTGTGTGTGTGTGTGTGTGTGTGTGTGTGTGTGTGTGTGTGTGTGTGTGTGTGTCGGGCTGTGTAGTGTATGTGTACCGTCCATGTCTACCTCTCTCACTTGCTGAAACATATCCGTCCAAATTTGACAGTGCGGGGGCAGACAGCCATGTTGCAGAATTCTGATAATTTAAATGCTCAGAGGCGCTTGAAAAGCAGAGGTGTTAAAAAAAAAAGAGAAAGACACATGAAGAGAAAGATAGAGAGCAACCCTCTGCATGCCTCCATATCACATAAGGGACTGCCTGCCACTTTCTTGTGAAGAATAATGCTCACTTGTCAATCTTCCAAGAGCCAGTCAGATAGCCGCCAGTCCCACGGAGACCTATTGAGGTGTATGCTTTGTTTCATCTGGGGCACGCCTCAGAGGAGATCAGAACTGTTGTATGCGCGAATTGCCTCCAAAATATAGGGTAGCAAAAAATAGCACATTTGATACAACGCTTGAGCTGATGTGCTATCTTGATCCGTACAGTAAACAACATATTTACTAATTTGCTTAAACAGAAATATAGAGATGTGAAGCTGGGAGCTCTGTACGTGTAGAGATATACTCTAATGATGGCATTACCACATCTAAAACGGAAAGAGACTAAATATATAGCACTTACAAACTGCAGTCAAGGCTTTGTGTAAAACACTTTTTGAACTGCTATTCAATAGTAAAATTGTCCCTGAACCTTTAAATACAAATGAGATTTATCACTGCCCTAATTACTTAAATTGCTGCCTGATGATAAATCGACTAGCACACGGTTATGTACACAAAGGTACGGCATTCCTCCAGAAAAAGCAATTCTCTGTAGTCCATAGCACAAACTATAAAGGTGTCAAGTGATTTATCTATGCGGCAATGCAAATAAAGAAAAACATACCCAGCAGCTTGAGGACGAGGTCTGCATATCTGTCCACACAAACATTTCCTTGTCATTTTGAAATACACTTCTTATTATAGTTTCATGATGCATAGCACTGAAGCAAGCAAAAAACCTTGATTGTCTAACAGTTGGAAACATAACTTTACCACCAGAATGTCTTATTTTCCTAAATAAAGTGAACAGCTAATGACAATGCTCTAACAAGTCCAAAGCAGCAGACCGTGCCCTCAGCTTGCAGCGACTGTGTTGAACGAGATTCTGTCCTAAACATCCCACGGGTCGTTTTAAATGAGAAGGTTTATATCAGTGTATCTCGTGCACAGAGAGAGAGGGAGAGAGATTGAATGTTTTGCAAATTATTCACAGGGATTATAAATCACTGCGGTGTCAGTGTTTCCAATGATGGGAGAAGATGCTTCCTCATTTCTTAATCCAAATGACATGGAAAACAACAGCTGCAGCAATAAAAGTCTCTGATATAAAAGAAGGATAAATAAATGTGCAAAAAATAAAAGCCTGGGCTCGTCATTAAACATGTCTGTGAGTATCTCAATGTCATCTCAATGACTTGATGCCCATTTTATTGTTGCACTTGCTTGTTTTGGTCTTGTGTATTCAATTGTCTAATTCATTTATCTCATTCATGTCTTCTTTATTTGTATCTTATTGGCTTTTAATTGTTATTGTTTCCATGTGTGTAATGCCCTTTCTAACACTCTTGAGAAGTGTTTTTATGTTGTGTTTTTTGTACCTTGCCTTTAGGGCATTTACACAAAAGATAACTGAGGAAGAATTCAACATCTTTATATTGGTCAACAAAATACACAACATTATGTGACAGCTTCATATTTCTCAAGAATCCAGGTGTCATAAAAATGACACATTTAATAATGATGGTATTTTTATAAACAGCATACTCCCAGATGCTCAGAAAGATACATCAGCTTGATATTTTACCACAAGCTGCTGGCAGATGGAAGACCATCTTCAGAGATTGAATGCAGGGTTAAGAGATGTCGGTCCTCTATGGGGTTGTCACTGCTCCATCCGCTCAAACTGTTTGCAGCCTATTCATTTGTCATGTTGCACCGTTCTCTGAACTTCTTCCTCCTCCTGACTGTACATTCTTCAGTTCCCCACGTACCACCGGCCATGGTGGGGGCATAGCATCAGTGTTTAGAGCTAGCCTCCAATGCCGATTGCTTCACCCTGTAACTAGCTACGCTAGCTTTGAGTTGCAGCTTTTTGAACTGAACCCGGCCTCGTCTGTACTCTGCGCAGTCCGCAGTCGTGTATCGTCCACCAAAGTGCAATAAGGATTTCATAAATGACTTTTCTGACTTTCTGTCCGGGATCATGGTGAAATATGATCGTGTTTTGATCTCCGGACACTTCAATGTCCAGGGGGGTATACTACGAATCTAGTTCAACCTATCCTGGATATGTTTTGAGTTATCCGGTTGACTTAATCCAAAACAAAGCCGCTCTCGCTAAACTGTCCTACAACGCTGGCTAACAACTCGTTCGCTCAAGCCAGCCGTGTCCTATCTAGTTAGGTGCGCGTTCACATAAAAGGGGTGGTATCTGGAGCATTCGACCAATCACAAACATGGAGAAGCGCAATGACAGCGCAGCGTCATACTTCCTGAATGAAAAGTCAACTATAATATTAGTCAAATATGAAGAAGTTAAACTTTAAACATCCATGACTTAAACATTTTATCCAGGATCAAAGCCACATAGTTGCACCTGCAAGGTGAATACAGCTGGTAAAAGAACAAGTGTTTGAATGCGTACATTAACAGGTTTATGATATCACTGCCCCGTCCAAGACACGAGTGGATCTGACTTTAATTACATTTGACTCGAGTGTTTCGTCAACTTAATGTGTTGCTTAAAATAATACTTCTGCATACAGTATGTGACACTGAGTGTTGCACAGCCAGATACGGCTCGGCTGACTCAGATCAGGAGATATATGATACATTATGATGCATGTGATATGATGTGAAATGAATGATAATGGGACATGTTGGGGCAGCAGCCATTACCAGCAAAGATAGCCTTGGACTAATACTACGGAGGAATAAAAGACACCACACACTTGCATTGTAGTTCACATGACACTGACTGAGTTCTCCGAGTGAGCCAGCAATGATCCCTTTATTAGAACCAGCTGTGTGATTGACAGATTGACAGATATGACGTCAGCATAAGAGCATTCAAGAGATTAATCGTTCACAACAGTTCAACACCCCCACTTGATCTTATTCTGACAACCTATGACATACATTTACACTTTTTTTTTTTTCTTTCATTTTAACCTTCAACACCAAAAATGAAACACACAAACTTTTCAATCATGCCCTTTGTTACAGTCTTGGTTAAAAATATCAGCTACCATTTCTGTTGTTGGGCAGTATTCAATAACTAGAGAATGCAATTCCTGAAGAAATTGCTAGTGGGAATGCTTTATGCTGAAATATAATGTGTAAGAAGAAAGTGAATAATCAGGAATATTTGGATGACTGAATGGTTTCCATATGAATGAATATTATATTAAAAAGTAGCATGAAACTCCAAATGTATAAATAATGTTAAAGATTTAAGGCTTTGAAGGTAGAATGTTATTCGTAGGAAAAGTTGAAAATGCAAAAAGAACTGGTGAAATAGTAACATTTGGAACATTTTATTTTCAAAAACTAGAACATGGGGAAAAAACTATATAAAACGTTTCAAATCAATTACTAACAAATTGTATTCAGTAAAAACACGAATGAAAATCTGTCAAACAATACATGAAAAAAACTATATAAAACTGTTTAAATCAATTACTAACAAATATATTCTGTAAAACCACAAAGTGAAATGGTGAACAAAAATAAAGTAATTTGTGATAAAACAACTATATACAGAAACTATTGATACAAATGTTGTAATAAATGTAAAGAAATCACTCAAGTGAATAAGTTAATATACAGAAACATTTCACATCAATTACTAAAGAAAATAACAATCTGAAGAACAACAAATCTAAAATACAGAAACTATTCATATCAATTAAATAAATCAAACAAGAAGTGAAGAGAAAAAAAACATAGCAACTTTTCAAATTAATAAAATAATAGCAGTCAAACCAGAACAAGACAAAAGCAAGCATAAAACAAACAGTTTTACTATGCATTTCATGCACGTCACATATGTATATTTTAATTGAACTATTAAAATCTCACTCTAAATGTCATGAAATAATAGTACGGTTAAATGCTCAAAAGAAGCAACAACTGCCATTTATATGTCTGCCCCATTAAGTGTCCATATATAGAAACGTTTCATATCCACTCTGCCTTCGACCCTCTAAGTATATCAGGAAAAACTCAGAGAAAAATCGTATTAACCCTTAGATGCATAAGTGGGGTAAAAAATGACCCCGAGGGTTGTTATTCTTCAAAATCTCTGAAATTAAAGGTTTTTACACTTCCATATTCCAGGTATTCCTCATAAAACATGCTTGTGACTTGAGGCCATTTGAATTTTTTTAAATGTTTTTATTCATTTTAAGAAATTGCAGTTTTTTTGTCACTACCCCAGTTTTTCATAAGCGGGGTCAAAAATGACACCAAGCATTTCCTACAGAATCTCAAGGGTTTGCTTTGGGAACCTTTGATTCTTACCAACTGTGACTGTCAGGATACATTTTCTGTCCCACTTACACATCTGATGCCTGCAGTCTCACCACCAGGAGGTCAGTTTGACACAGCAGCATACATGTAAGTATTATCTTCATTTATCAACTCCATGACTTTTCTGTGATAGAGTATCATGTTGGTCAAGAAAGTAGACACTAGTTAGCTAACTACAAAATAATGTTAGTATTAGCTAGCTTACTAAGCTAGCTAACATTACACTAGTTTAGTAAGCCAGCTGATATTACTGCATTTGTTGTGTAGAGACTCACTGTATTCATAATTCCTTCTAATAAAAGCTAACCTGTTAGATAACCTATTATATGATTATTGAATATTGGTGTGTGTGTGTGTGTGTGTGTGTGTGTGTGTGTGTGTGTGTGTGTGTGTGTGTGTGTGTGTGTGTGTGTGTGTACACATGCATGTCTGTGCCTTTACTTACATATAAATGCACAGACATTTACTTAGATAGCTACATATTGATTTATAGTTTTGTGTGTCATTCAAACATTGTCTGTTTTATGTTTTCTCATCTAGACTATCATGGCTACTTGGAGGCCAGCTAGGATACCCGAAGACGTTGCTCGAGATATGATCCTGAACGGATGGGATGAAGAGCCCATCGGTGGGATTGACTCGGGATCTGACATCTCAGATGTAGAGGATCCAGATTATTGTCCACCTGGACATGTCAGGCCGTCTGGGAACCAACCTGCTCCTGCCGAACAAGATCAGTCAGACACGGAGGAGTCCTCTGAGTCCTCCTCCGAAGAAATGGATATTGTGTCCAACAGAATGAGCCGCAAGGGCTCTTACTGGGCAGAGTTACCTCCCACCCAGGCTAAAACACCAAGCCACAATTTACTGAGAAGTCGATCAGGGCCTGCACCTGGGTTTAGCACCGTCTCTCCAATAGATGCATGGAAGCTGTTTACCACTGATAGTATATTAGAAGAGGTGTTGAGATGCACAAACATGGAGGGAAGAAGAGTCGCAACAAACAGAGGAAAAGAGTGGAAAAATCTAAGCAAAGAGGAGCTCATGGCCTTCATTGGATTGACCATTCTTGCAGGAAGTGAGAAAAACTGGGATGTACCAATCCGTGTGCTCTTTGGGAGTCCTCTACACAACCCAATGTACAAGGCCACAATGTCAATTGGACGTTTCGAAGATATTCGCCGTTTGCTGCGCTTTGATGACAAGAGGACCAGAGCCTCCCGACTGGAAACAGACCACATGACAGCCTTCCGCCACATATGGGACCTGTTCCTGGTCAACTGCAGGCAGAAATTCATCCCCAGTGATTGTGTCACAGTGGACGAACAACTTGTACCATTTTGAGGGAGGACCAAGTTTTTGCAGTATATGCCAAGCAAGCCTGCCAAGTACGGCATAAAGATATTCTGGGTTTGTGATGCACGCACCCCTTATGCAATTGATGGAATTGTGTACACAGGGAGACAACCAGGGGAAGAAGTCCAGAAGAATCTAGGGGAAAACACTGTCCGTCAGTTGTGCAGTGGATTCAGACACACAGGTCTCAACATCACCACAGACAACTTCTTCACCAGTGTGCCTCTTGCAGAGCATCTCCTGGAGAAGGGTCTGACTATTGTGGGAACGTTGCGACAGAACAAGCCAGACATCCCTCCAGTGATGAAGGCTTCCAAGTCGAGGGAGGTCCACAGCACTGAATTTGGGTTTAATGGCAGCATGACCATGATCAGTTATATCAGAAAAAAGGGAAAGGCTGTTCTGCTTCTCAGCACAATGCGCCACAGCAAGATGGTGGATGAAAACAGCCAAAAGAAAAAAACAGAAATAATCCTCTTCTACAACCAGACCAAAGGAGGTGTAGATACCGTTGACCAGATGGTTGGCTACTACACCTGCAAGCGCCAGACACAGAGGTGGCCCATGGTGCTGTGGTACAACATGATTGATATAGCCACTCTAAACGCCTACTCATTTTTCAGGGCTCAGCACCCTGAAATTTCCACAGGTATCACCAACGCACGGCGACATTTCCTCACAGAGCTCTCAAAGGAGCTTGTGACTCCTCATATGAAAAGTCGACTGGAAGGTACCCCGAACCTACCAACCTACATCACTGAAGCAATGGGAAGGTGTGAAGTGACAAAAGCTGCAAACCAGCAACAGGAGAGAAGCACAGAGGGCCAACAGAAGAGAAAGAGGTGCCAGATGTGTCCAAGAAACAAAGATCGCAAAGCCACCAATTGCTGTTGGAAATGCAGTACCCCAGTGTGCAATGGTCACAGCCAAAAGCAAATAGTTTGTGACAACTGCACACAGTGAATAGAGAAAAGACGTTTGTGTGGGCACATGTGAGTGGACAGTGTTCTGGTCTTATGTATGTTCATTCTCTTTTTTGTCCTCCAGACAGATGGACATACTAACAATAATTTTTGAAGATTTTTGATGTTATTTCTTGTGAATATTTTTTATAAAAAGTTATAAATAAGCATGTTAAATGTAAAATCAGTCTTTTGTTGACCCAAATATAATAAATATAATCATCTTTAACCAAAATTAAAGACATTTTTTAAATTCATTGCAAAAACACATTGATTCTAATTGGGGTCATTTTTGACCCCACTCATGGAAGAGTGTAGGTATTGGTTGTTCATGCATCCAAGGGTTAAGGAAAAAGGGAGAAACCTTTAGGTAGGCCAAGTCTTAGAGGGATCCCCTACCAGGACGGCTGAGCATCAAGTGTTTGTGAAGGTTCGGGTTAAGAACATGTGCCTGCGTCAGGACTGATTGCTGCTGTTGCAGCCGCAGTGTAGAGATGAAGTCTTCTGGGTGTTGAAGACTCTCTCCAATCAGTAAACAAGATGATAAATATCATAATACAGGAACAAAATGTTGGAAAACAATATTGATATGGTTGCCGTAACACACACAGACATCAACTTATGAGAGAAGTGGAAAATATGCTACAAGGTATAAAAACCATGAACACAGTTTCCAGGTTATATAACAACATTAAATCTACTCATAGTATCTGATACAAATTGGTTGCTTACATTTTATTAGATGAAGATGAAGGATTGAAGGCTCCTGAAAGAATCCTGAGCTGCACTGCCTCTGATGACTCTGGTCTTGGGTCCATGTGGTTCTGGTTCTGTGGTGCATGGAGAGAACACTGTAACACCAATGATGCAAATGGGCAATACATACAATCCACAATGGCTTGTTGTCTGAAAATGCTGTAGCACTAAAGTGGAATGATCTTATAATGTGGAATAAAAAGGCTTTGTTTAATTGGGTATTTAGCCAAAATCACTTGTTGATAGGAATATGTGAGGTTTCTAGCTTGAAACATTTGTATATAAATGGAAAACATTACATAAACCATTGATACAAACTTTCAAGATGTACTATATCACTCAAAGTAAATTGAAGACTTGAAAAGATTAAATAAAACAAACATTGCAACATACCAGGCACAGGTCCAGATCATTTAAAGGTGAAACAGGGGCCTCTTGGGGTGTCTGTGTCCCTTCCACATGGATCAACACCGTCACAAACCAGGTCCAGAGATGTGTACGGAGTAGTCCTCGAGTCCCCTCTCAGTCCTTGAGTCCCCTTCATAGAAGGCTGCACAAACATGAAACAAAGGTTAAGACGGTCTTTTTTTCCCCCTTCAAAAACAAGTGTTCAGAGAAATTAAAAAAACCTCAATCATTACCATGTGTTTACAGTTTGTTAATTTACTTCTGCAAATTGTAATGTTAATGACTATTATTTAAAGACTTTTGGGGCATTTCATGCCTTTATTAAATGTAGGCAGAGAGAGACAGGAAAGGTGGGGAAACAGAATAGTGGAATGACATGCAGGAATTATGGAAAAACAGAGGATGAGAAATAGATCCTTTAAGACTTGAAAATCATCAGTGCCACAGATGATTTGAAGTATGCACACACCGTAAATGGTATACTTAGCACCTGCTTGGATCCAGCAACACAGTTTTGCGCCGCAGCTTGTGTTGTTGCTCAGGCGTGGCTCTGTCAGCATTGCTCTGCTTCTTCACCCCTTTTAATATAAATGGAAAGCATTAAATTAACCATTGATACAGACTGTCAAGATATACTGTCACTCAAAGTAAGTTGAAGAATTTGAAGGGTTAAAGAAAACAAACATTGGAACATACCAGGCACAGGTCCTGGCGGTGAAAGACAACACAAAAGTCAATAGGTGGGAGTTCAATGGAGAGGGTGCCACGCCCACAGAGGTTTATAAAAACCGAACAGCTGCGGTCACAGACGGGCAGAATTACATTTTACACGTGTGTTTTTGTCCAAGTGTGTTTGAAGCAAAGGCAATTATGATATACTTCTTTAGGTCAGATGTTTATAGTGATTTGTTTTAATACAATGAATATGTGTTTTATATTCTTAACTGCTGAAGGTCTTCCCAAATCCAAAAAAAGGTGTAGAATAACATGTATTTTGATATGAAAACTTGTCAAAGGGCAAAACATTTGCTGTGGTTTCAGACCTTGAATAAAAAAAATCAAGAACATTAGCTAATAATAATGTTTTAACCCCGATTGTAAACCCAACGAGAACTTACTTAAATTAGTCTGGAAACTGAGGAGCACATTTTCTTCATCTTTTAAAACAGTTAACCACAGTCTAGTGATGTGCTGTTGTTCATTTCAGATTGTCTTTACTCACCAATCAAGCGCAGATTCTTTGTGTTCTTCTTGTCTATAAGAGGAAGCAAGATATTAGTCTTACATCTTTTTATTTCTGTAATGATGTGTTGAACAGCAGATACAACTCCCTGTATTTAGCCTTAACTGTCAATAATGTACACAAGCTATTTAATATGTAATACTGCACACTTGAGCCAAATGTGTTAATCAATAATACAACTATTAATCATGTAACAGTTTTCATTAAGCTTTTATCCGTCAAGAAAAGCTAAATTAATTGAAAATAAAAAATGTATCCTTATCTAGTTTATTGCTGGCTAGCAGCTGCAACAGTACTTGTGCAGTACAATGAACTTGCAGAGACTGTAACTGAGCGTCCACACTACAGCTTCAAAAAAAGCTTGGAGCTGGGCGTGTCTGAAGCTTGGGGATTTTATTCAAGCAACGCGACCAACAACCAATCACATGAATCTCCCGCCCCTGACATACAAAGCAAAAACCCCCGGGGATTTTATGGGAGCAATATATATATAAACTCCCCAAACAGGCGAAAACCTACCAGTTTCACCTACCAGTTGCCACCTCCCTCCATGCCTGGTTCCTCCGGTTTGTATCCCGGTAGGTGAAGAGGGTCTGGTCATACAAAACCGGGTGATTTGCTACGGCGATAATTAGTTTCTCCTCCATCTTTTTTTGAAATATAGAAATGAACGGCGGGATATCTCTCCCAGCTTAGACGCGGTTTGATTGGCTACGGCTTGAGCTGACAGATTTTCCGAAACGGGATTTGATTGGCTGGCGCTGGCTACTCCGGCGTCAGAAGTTGAACATTGTTCAACTTCTGACGGCGGAGACGGACCGCTATGCTACCCACAATTCAGTTCGGCGAAAAAGCGAGGCAACGTGACGTCACCCCATTCAAAGTGAATGGGCAGATTGAAGCTGTCGACGCTGTAGTGTGGACGGGACGTAACGGCCCGTCTACACTACAGGCATCAAAAAATCTTGAAGCTGGGCGTGTCTGAAGCTTGGCGATTTTTTGCGAGCAACGCGACCAACAACCAATCACATGAATCTCCCGCCCCCGACATACAAAGCAATAGCAATGTTAAAACGAAGTAAACTGGATATAAAATCCCAAAACAGGCGAAAACCTACCAGTTTCACCCACTGTCTCTGCCACCTCCCTCCATGCCTGGTTCCTCCGGTTTGTATCCCGGTAAATAGTTCTGGTCGGAAAGAACCGGGTGATTTGCTACCGTAATTTCTCGTTTGGAATATAAGGAAATTAACTGCGGTCTGGCTCTCCCAGCTTGCATGCGGTTTGATTGGCTAGCGCTTGTACTGGCGGGATTTGCATAAACGGGATTTGATTGGGTGACACCAGCTTCGAGCAAGCATCGAGCCTCAAAAGTTGAACATTGTTCAACTTTTGACGCCGATAGACGCTCGCGATGCTTGCAACGCCTTGCCATGCTACCCACAATGCAGTTCGGCGAAGTTTGAAAAGATCCTACGTCACCCCACAAGCGTTGAAAGCATTTTTTGACGCCTGTAGTGTAGACGGGCCGTAACGGCCCGTCCACACAGCGGCGTGCGTTGACGCTTGCCGGCGGGCATGTCTGACACTTGACCAACAACCAATCACATGAATCTCCCGCCCCTGACACACAAGCAGCGGTTTGATTGGCTAGAGCTTGTACTGGCATATGATTCGATTGGCTGACGCTTCTGCCGAGGCGTCAAAAGTTGAGCATTTCTCAACTTTTGCAGCGAGCCACGCCAGCAACGCTCCACGTCGCTTCCCACGATGCAGTTCGGCTAAAAGTGACGTCACCCCATTCAAAGCGAATGGGCAGAAGCGTTGGAAGCTTCAACGCACGCCGCTGTGTGGACGGGCCGTAAGAGTTAAATAGGTGATGCAAGTACACTATTAACCTTTGAATTGTAGTGGGGTACAAGAACAAAGTAGCAAATTATTTAAATAAGGTAAAAGTCACTCAATGTTGTACTTAAGTACAGTGCATGATTACATATAGTGAATTACTTAACATCACTGCTTGTTCGTAGCCGTTAATACAGGTCCCAAAGATTAATTTAGCATATTTAGAAAGTATGCAAAAAAACACAACAGTGGCAACAGATAACCCACAAGTACCACTACACCACAAGCACTGCAGCACAAGAGTTTCATGTTTAATTAAAGGCTGAAGTTAAGCATTAATAACTGGCTGTTAGCATCCTTTGGTAACTAAACAGGAGTAGTCTAACAGCTAACTGCAGTTAGCTGCTATAAACAACATGACAAGCTTGGCACTTTAGCGCAACTCAAACGGTGTGTTATACTTTGAAAAAGAGTTCATTTGACACTTTAGGGAGACTGTTTAGGGAGAGATGAACTTAGCTAGCAGCCTAGCAGCGTTAGCCCGTTAGCGCAATGCTAACGGGCTAACCTATGGGGCTAACGCAACGATGCTAGCTGTTAGCCCGTTAGCACAATGCTAACGGGCTAAGACTGGATACGCTGCTAAGCTGTATTCTTTAATGTGTAAATAAATATCAGTTGTCACGCCAGTAAACAGTCTATGAACAAACTCAAACGGTGTGTTATATTTTTTTAAAGAGTTCATTTGACACTTTAAACTGAAACTTACCTAGCAGAAGTCAGAAGTCAAAGCAGAATAAATCTCCCGGGCTAGGGGTGACGCATCTGCTATTATTGATGCGTTCAAGGACACTCAGAAATGCTAAAGTTACCGATGAAGAGCGCTGGAAAAGAGACTAAATTAGAGTATTGTTTGTATTTATGTTATATATTTGTTTAATAATATAATTTGTTTAACTCCACAGTGTACAAATGTGAGTGGTCAGCAGGGTCGGCTCTAGAACAACTTGAATGGGGGGGCAATCATTTACCAAGGGGGGGCACACACTGCCGTCAACAACCAACACACAAACACCAATGCAACTTCAATTTAAAAAAAACATGCTGTAAAGTCTATTGTCTTTCACACACATTGCAGGAGTGTAGTGCTATTGTATAGCGCACCTATGACTTGTGCATACATGCACGGTTGTGGCACGACCACCAAAACAGAAACATATAAGGACAGAGGGTGTCGTTTTCTCATACTGATATTCTGCACAAACTGTGCTGTTGTATTTGCTGTAAAGTGTCTTTACTGTAGGTTATTTTTGTATTATACTGTATATACAGCACTTTGGCTCGACCAAAAATCGTTGAAAAATGTGCTATATAAATAAAACTTGATTTGATTTGATATGGACATGGCCATCATATAAAAAGTGTGCAAATGTATTTAGTATCCTATCCATGTGAACATGTTTTAGGTGGGGGTGGACCTAACCTCCTCTAGGAGGGTCTGGGGGCATGCTCCCCCGGGAAGATTATTTTTTAAATATTGAAGTTAAATGCATCAATCTGGTGCACTTTGAGAGCAAAGTGAAGAGATCTATGGATAGCCTACATCTCTCAGCATCCATATGAAACAGAACTGTACACAGATTTACTTTTTCTTTATGGATATTTCACTAATCATTCCCCTTTTAAACTGTATTCTTGTGTTACTGTCCTATAGTATTTCATACCCGTTTTTCATTTATTCTCTCTTTAATAACTATAATGATCATATAAAGGTATTCCTCGAAAATACTTACATAAATGGTGACCAAACCGTTTGAGACCCACTGAGATAACTTACACTAAAGTGAACTATCTAAACACTGAGAGAGTCCTTACCTCACTGAGCTGACGTTATAAGATCCTCTCAGTCTGACAGGAGAGGACTGTCCTCCACCTTGGTGTAGAAACAGCCCTTTATATCCGTTAGCATAGCTAGCTAACCAGATGCTAACCACAACATTCCACGTTACCGCTCGCGCACTCACAAAATGCGCTCGTGCCACACACACACAGAGCTTGAATGAAACACAGAGACCCATGTACTTGTACTGTACTGTATATCATATTATTTTTGATGGCTTTACTGTATAATCAGTGTAACAGATTAACAGATCGCCACTGGGCTTTCATCTAAACACTCAGCCACGTAATGATAACAAAAAAAAGGTCGGGGGTCATTGGTCAAGCAACACACCAATCAGAGAGCAGCAGTGAGCACACCTCAGGCTGTGTTTTATATTTGTATTATTTATTTCTGATGTATTTCACACAAAAAACCTTTAGTGGAAACGTTTTCACTTAGCCTATATGATAAAAAAAAAGAAAAAATCGGCAAAGTGACAAGGCTTGCCCACCCTGCGTTGGGGGGGGCACAGTGACTCATTTGGGGGGGCATGGCCCGCGAATGACCCCCCATGACGCCGACCCTGGTGGTCAGGATCCATTATCGAAAACACCGTCATGCATAAAGACTGACATGCAGAAACAGCCTTAAACGTGTCAATTGGAGTGATGACATCATTGTGTTCCATGACACGTGTTAGAGATCATAGGTTTGCATTGTTCTGAATGAGAGATTAACCTCTTACATGTGAACGTTTTGTGGAAGAACCGTAACAGATATCTGTGAAATTTCAAAACGTGAAGCATTTCAAGGAAGTTGAGCATCTGAAGTGTAATTTTTGTGTACTTTCGGGTTAATAATGTGGCCTTTTTGGCAGTTTAACTAAAGGTGTGCGGCTGCTACCGTGAGGAAATATCTGCCTGAAATTACAATGGGCTTCAATGGAGGAATGTTGAACGTTTTTGTCACTTCATGCCCCCAGACATTTTGTTGAATTATTTTTGCTTAATTATTTGTCATTTTTCAAGCTATGATATGTTTTCCTACGTTTATCATGAACAATTATGTCCCAGGAATGTAGGGTTTGGGAATTATGGCAGTTTTAAAAAAAATTCAAGATTTCTTACCCTCTAGCTGTGACATCACG